AGCAGGAAATGTAACTGTGCAGGTAATACAGTTTTCACTTGTAAAATACTGTGCTGAGTTCTCATTTGGGTTTGAAAAACGATAAGGAATTTCCTACCCTAACTTTGCTTCATATAATACAGGAGTACTGACAATAAATGTATTATGCTAGAAATTTCACTGGTTGACTAAGAGGATGTATGATGACTGCCCCAGTTTCTTTTTTTGTTTAAAATGTTTCATGGACATCTCCTTTCAATTAATATTGGAACTCACAGTCCTTTGAGCCTGTGTAAAACTCCTCTTTCCATTTTGTATTCAAAACTTACTTCTCTGTTAAACCCTGGTTTGGGGTTGCAACTGGGATTGAAATGTTGCATAAAGCTACTCCGGGGTCACCGTGACTTCTCCTACCCTCTACCCCTCAATACTGTTGAGGGACTGCAAAAAGGTTGGTATCTTTGATGTTTCCAGTTCATTCCCCTACCAGCCTAGTCAGCTTGGCCTTATCTGTAGGGAACCGCTTTGTACGCAGGAGATTATTCTATGTTTGCCCTGATTTTTATTTTCTTTCCATGAGTAGCTGCTAAGAAAGACGCAGTGCGGTAGCAAGACCTGTGACGTGCCTGCAGCTGTTCTTAGACTCTGGGAGAAATCAACATGGTTATATCATTTACAGTGATTGTTTCTATATTCTGAACACTTGTCTATAGCTGTGGAGAAGGACTAGTCAGTGGATCACATGTGAAAATGAAAATGCTTAAATAGGTAGTGATGATTTTCTACCACTGGCATAATATTTTTGACTAAGAAATGCAAAGTTACTATTTGGGATGTGGTTATTATGTGTTTCTGAAGTCACTGTCTCTGGGCTCTTTAAGAGAAGCAAATTCTAGCAATTTCTTACCATCTTCAACAACTCTTGCAAATGTCATATAATAATACTCTTTTGTCTAAACTTTTACTTAAATCTGCAAACGCTGTTTGCAGCAATCTTCCTTTCTAGTCGCCATGTCTGTTTGCTCTGTCTAACCCATGCACACATCATTAACCTGGATATAATAGTCCAAATAAATGGTTTCCCGGCATTCAGTAAGTTTCAAATCAACTGATGTTTGTTGGTGAGTATTTTATCCACAAGCTCTGTGAGTGTTTCTGATCTGTGTAGAAATAATCTCATTAGAAAATGGCACGATGACTATGGTAGCATTCTTTATTCGCCATAATTCAGCATCGCTATAACTGACAGAAGCCGCTGAAGTATGCAACACATACCTCCCGACACTGTCTTTGAGACATAATCCAATAACTGATTGAACTGTGTGAAGCTTTTCCCCTTCTCCTTTCAGGGTGCTGTATTTTCTGGGCACTGGTGGTGCTGGAAGGAAGACACGTTGGACTTGGGGGAGAGCAGGCAGCTGGGCAGCTGCTCCTCTCGCTTGAGGAGCAGATGGCAAAGGGGGACTCAGGGTCCCTGTCCTCACAACCCTCGCTGTCTGATGAGTCATTACATCTGCTCCTTTCCATGGAGAAACCCCTCCCTGCCTCCGCACCTCTGAAGAGAAAGCTCAGACTCTTCTGCTACCTGAGCTCTCCATGCTGGAAAGCACATCGGTCCATGGCAGGGGCAGAGTGTGGACTGACACTGCTGATCCAGCAGGAAAGGAGAGACCTTCTGCCGAGGGGAAGAGCCAAGGTGCCCTTCTCCACCTCCAGCTCTCCTCTGCCGCTGCTTCGGCACCACGCAGGTCCCCGAGAGCGCGAGCTTTGTGCATGCAGAGGCTGCAGAGCCGGGCTGCGAGGCAGAGCGGTGTCACCCCTGTTTGATGACCTCTCCCTTCATCATGTAAAGCCGCTTAGATGAGGACTGGCTCATTTCTGTATGTGTTTAGGGCTTTGGGGGTTACTGGAATTAGATTCATTATGAAAATTTCTGTGAAATACCTGTGCTGTCAGAGGCAGGGTGAAGGTGTAGGTGATCTGTGTTTCTGCTGCTACAGCGTTTCTGCTAGAGCGTGCCTTGTTACTTTGAATACAGAAATAAGTGAAGGGTTAGTTGAGGTGGTATCTATCTTCATTCTTTGAAATGTGGATATTTTTATTTAAGTCTTTGTAGTGGAGTCTCTCAATGGTTGTATAGCATTGCCAATGACTGAAACTTGGATAACCAGATTTAGGATCGGCCTTTATACTCTGCAGCTCAGTATGAACTTCCATCACTGAATGTGAACATTTTTTTTTCAGTAGATTA